TAGACCTTGATCACATGACAGAAGTTCCTCCGATTCATGGGTCCTCAACCTACTACCTGCCGCACCACGCGGTCTTCAAGCCTGATAGCACCACCACGAAAGTCCGCGTTGTATTTAACGCATCCAGCCCGTCGAGTAACGGTATCAGCTTGAATGATCTTCTGCACCCCGGCCCTGTTCTCCAGTCCGACTTAACCCTTCAGATCCTGAAGTGGCGCTACTACCGGTACGTCTTCAATGCTGACATCACCAAGATGTATCGGCAGATTTGGGTAGATCCGAAGCACACCCCCTTCCAGCGAATATTGTTTCGCAACAAGGAGGGCGAGATACGCGACTATGAGTTGCAAACTGTTACCTTTGAGGTCAATTGTGCTCCCTTTCTCGCCATCCAGGCGTTGCAACGGCTTGCAGACGATGTCCAATCCCGATTCCCGAGTCACATCATTCGGTCCTGTATGTATGTCGACGACGTCCTAGCGGGAGCAGACTCTCCCACTGAGGCTCAACTAGCTATCTGCGAGTTACAGGCCGCCCTGAGTTCTGCCGGGTTTCCACTGAGAAAATGGACGTCCAACCACATGGATATCCTGACTACCATTCCGAATGACCATCTCCTTCACACCGACTTCCTTGAAATTGAGGCAGAAAGCACAGCCAAGACTCTCGGAATTCGCTGGAAGGCGACAACAGACGATTTCTTCTTCGTTCCGCCAGAACTGGCATCTATAGCATCCTATACCAAGCGAGCAGTGCTTTCCCAGATTGCAAGGTTGTTCGACCCTGCGGGCTGGTTGGCTCCTTCCATTGTCCGGTCAAAGATCTTCATTGAAGGGATCTGATTGCAAGAAGTGGGATGGGACGAAGATCTTCCGACCGGGATGCGTCAGCGCTGGCAGAGTTTTCTGCAGAGCTACTCCGCTCTCGACCAGATCCGCATTCCAAGGTGGATTGGCTCCGAACCATCTGTAAGTGTCGAGCATCACGGATTTTGCGATGCGTCCGAAAAGGCGTACGGTGCGGCGATCTATGTACGCATCGAGACTGACCACCTAGTCAAGGTGCAGTTGCTCACCGCGAAAACACTAGTCGCACCCATTAAGACTGTATCGCTCCCCCGGTTAGAGCTATGCGGCGCCGTGTTACTGTCCGAAATGGCGACGGCTATCCTGGCAAATATGCCAAGCGCACCTACAAGCGCACCTACAGTCCAGTCCTGGCTGAAAAAGCCTGCTTGCCACTGGACTACCTTCGTGGCCAACAGAGTGACCAGAATTTCCCAAGCCACCGAGGTCGAGAATTGGGGTCACGCTCCTTCCGCACAAAATCCCGCCGAAATCGCCAGCAGGGGCGTATCCTTACAGGAGCTCGTCGAGAACCAACTCTGGTGGCACGGACCAGCGTGGTTGCAAGGGCCCCGGCATCATTGATGCAAGGGCCCCGGCCAGCCCAAGGCGGGGACGATCCCGAGCAACGAGCTATGAAGGTTCATTTTTCACCGAGCCCATCCGAAGACTTCCTCGATCGGTTCTCCAATCTGGAGAGCTCTGCGAGTCCATGCTTGTGTCCTTCGCTTCACAAAACGCTGCCGGAAGCTGGTCACCAACATTACCGCAGCTGAGCGCACTCTTATCCTAGAGACTCAGCGCAGGGAATACTCCCAAGAGTATCACTGCCTAAGCGAGAAGCGGCCAGTGCCAAGGTCAAGTTCTATCCTGAATTTTAACCCGTTCCTAGACCAACATGGGCTCATAAGAACATGTGGCCGTATCGCAACTTCTACCTTTCTGAAGTACGACGAACGGCATCCCATTATTCTGCCGTACCGCTGCCGGCTATCCCGCCTTCTCGCGCAATTCACCCACCGGACAACTCTTCATGGCAGGAACTATCTAATGGTGCGACTTATCCGATCCAAGTTCTGGATTCCCAAGGTTCAGAAACTCATGAAGGGGGTGGTAAAATCCTGCAAGGTATGCGTCATCCACAGACAGAAGTTGCAAGCTCAAATGATGGGTGATCTTCGCAATTGACTACGTAGGTCCCTTCGACATACAGAATTACACAGGCAGAGCGTGCCTGATAACCAAGGGGTATGTGTCTGTGTTCGTGTGTTTTTCCACGAAGGCGATCCATTTGGAGCCCACGTCGGATCTCACGCCCGAGAAATTTCTTGCAGCCTTCGCTCGTTTCGTCGCACGACAAGGGTGTCCGCAGCGCATTCACTCCGACAATGGCAAAACTTTCGTTGGTGTCGCCAAGGTGCTTTCCCGTGACTTCCTTGAAGCATTCAAGGGCTTGGTAACTGATGCGTACAGCCATCACCGGGTTTCGTGGCGTTTTATCCCACCAGGAGCTCCACAACAGGGAGGTCTGTGGGAAGCCGGGGAGAAGAGTTTCAAAACTCTCTTCTACAAAGCCACGTCCACTCGGAAGTACACTTTCGAAGAGCTTTCCACGCTTCTCGCAAAGATCGAAGCATGCCTTAATTCCAGGCCGCTCTCGCCGATGTCCGAAGATCCAACTGAGTTGCTGGCCCTTACTCCCGGGCACTTCCTTACCGGGGGACCCTTGATGTCTACGGCCGAACCCGAAATAACATTCGTACCAAGACGGGCGACTTCCGACTAGAAGCCATCCTGAAGGTCGAGCCCCGTTTGCGCATCCGCACGCCGATCTGACCTTTGAGCGATACGATCCGGGCTCGATTTGACGATCTGACGCTCGCAGATGCGCAATTCCATCGACCAGCCACCATCTCTCTGGTCTTAGGCGCCGACGTCTACCCGAAAGTGATCCAACCCGGTTTCCTGGCACGCGAGGACGGCCATTCTGTGGCCCAGAGCATGGTGTTCGGATGGATCGTATCCGGTGCATGCACACAGCCATAGACACCGATTGGGCTTTGCATCCTGCAGGGGGGGGAGGATGTTCAGGTCAGCAGCAGATGAGTGCCGCGCACTGTGCCAACTTCGTGCGCTCCGGTCCCAACTCGCTCTCGCGCGCTCGGAGGGGTGCTCGGGAGATTTTACGATCCACGATCCACCCGGCGCTCAAGCCATAATAGAGCATAGATCATAAGGCCTAGCTTAGTTACGTTTCAACCCCCGTTTCAAACGTCCGATCTACCACGCGACCACCGAAATAAATACTACATATATACCACGAAGCACCGCGGCATTTGATTTCTTGCGACGGCTACTAGGAGGTTTCTCTGGATCATCCATATCGTCGTTGGAGACTTGAGCTTCGTCCGCCCCACTACAAACAAGTTTTGAACTTATTTTGGTTTACTTGTAAGTTTTTTGATTTTTGTATTTAGTGTTTCACTGTTTTGGTGATTCACTATCTCAGCTCACTTCAAGTCACTCACTTCAATTACAAATCGTATGTGCTCGTAGCACATAGGTTCTTTGGCGGATTTCACAATTTAAATTAACGATTCCGGGATTACGTGATCACAGTAATTAAAAATTACGCAAGCTGACCATTACCGAAATATAGGAGTTAACTTTAAACGGAACCCTACCGGCTGCGCCAGTTAAATAACCGCAACACGATTTTAAGTTTTTAAAAAAGATTTTTATTTTACAAGCTTAAGATCTTTTTGTCACAAGATAATGAATTCCCCGACTTGAATGTATGTCTGCTTGTCTCAAACGGAACTGATTTCTCTATTGTTGGCTAGTTTCCATGAGCCCTTCTCTTAGAGCTCTCAACTCTGGCTTCGGGTGTTGCTTTCCTCGACTGCATCTTCGTGTCAGTGGCGTACGTGACTGGACCGATATTTGGGGATGCGTCGGTTTTGATGAAAGGCATCCGCTGCTGGCGATCGGTGTTGCATTACATGAGGGAGCTAGGAATGTGATACTGCTTGGTTTTATGACTAGCTCTGATTGGTCCTCATGAGTGGCATGATTCTAAAGAATCGATTTCTCTCGAGTGGCGAGATTCTGGCGTTGATGAATCAATGGGGTCCATTGTTTAGATTAGTGGACTCTAGCTTGGAGTGTGGGAAGAATCAGTTATTGATTCTTCGGTGGAGTCCTGTTAATTTTGTGGATGGAGTGGGTGAATACAAAATGAGAGTTATGGATATGTCACTATTTATATTTATTTATTCTCGAGTATAGCACAAATACATCTGCTTTGATAAATTGATTATTTTCTAATGCTCTAGTCCAACTTTTAAAAGTTCAGTTAGGCTGTACTGAACAAAAAGCTCCCAGATCGGATGATTTTTGGAACTTTATCTGAATAATCGGATGATCTTTCGCCCATTTGAGTGGAATTTTGGTCAAGCTTTAATCTATGCTCCTCTCCCTACGCTACTCTCTTGATCAAGATAAACGCGACGTCTTCCGCTTAAAAGCGTGCGCTGACTCTCTTTAGAAAGCTTTTCGGCTTGCTGCTTACGATCCACTTTCGGAGTTACTATGGATCTTCCCTTTCAAGTATTACAAACGAAAACTATGCTTATCCGTGATGCTCCATACTCTTTCCCTAAATTCGGCCCCTACAGTATTATTAATTTATTAAGAAGAGGGGAATTACTAGTGGATATAATATGGTAGAGGGAATTATAATCCGAGCATAAGACCCTAAACGGTTCATGCAAGGAATAATTCGATCTACAAAATGGAAGGAACATCGGTATAAAATGTCTAGTAAGTCTAATAGGAATCGTGAAGTATAGGCGGCTCAACAGATCAGGGCTGTCTTTGTCACCCATGATCAAGTTGTGCATAAAAATCACACCAAGCATTTTTCTACGGTTATTTCGATTTGTTAATTGATTTTTGCGGTTTGCGATAGCCGAAGCAGAGCTGTATATCTTAGCAAGCAAGTATATTGGGGATATTTATAGTAGGCTATGGGACTTACATAACTTTTGATTGTTTCTAAAAAACGCTTGGTACATATATCATTTCAAGTAATACATAGAATTTATACATTAGAACACAGAACAAGTCTTAAAATATTTCTTACGCAAAATAAAATAATTTTAATCAGCTATATAATGCTGCGAATTCCAGGAATGCCGCTGCTTCCGGGCACGCTTTTTCGTGACGTAAGTAAATCCATCCATAACCAACTCACTGAGATAAAACCACCCCACAACTTTTTTCTAAATATTAGGTTTCTAAGGGCCATTACCCCAAGCCACAGTCGCTGCTGAACATCCAGGGTCTCAGCATGCTTAATGATCGTCAGCAACCTGCACCAATTGATCCCAATGGCGACGTAGTACACATTAGCTGCCCACCGGTCGGCGCATCTTCCATCTATCCACCCCGTTCCGGTCCACGCATGCCACCTTGGTTGGCCTACGACAAGAAAGTTCTCTGCTTTAGTGCCTATTTCAAACAAACTTTGCAGGAGGTCTACCATGCACCTTACTTGATTCGAAAAGTTAAGATATATTTCTATCTAGAAGACGGCACCTTAGAGATTTATGAGCCTCGAGTAGATAATTCCGGCATAGTTCAGGGTTGCGTGGTCCATCGTCAGCGTGTTCAAAAGACGCCGCCCTGTGACAATGAGTTTATGTCTCTAAATGATTTGAATATCGACATGACTGTACAGATTTTCGATCGTCAATATCATATTATAGACTGCGATCAGTTCACTCGTGACTTCCTAAACAGACGCGGCATCACCGTTCCGGATTCAATGAAATTCCCTTGGTAAAAAATTTTCTATAGAAATGTATCTACAATAATCTCATCCGTAATTAACTTTTTTCTTTAATTTGAACATCATTTACAGCGATCCATCTAATTCCGTGGGTAATCGTGAACATTTAGGCGCTGTCAACCCGATTGAAAAAAAACATGCTTTTGCGCAATTTTTAAAGTATGATCGACAAATACTCAAATTTCAGGCGTACTGGGATGATCGAACGGAGTTTGGGGACGTTCGCAAGTTAGAGATCTGCTACTATTTGGCCGACGATACCATCGAAATCAAGGAAGCACATATCCGCAACTCTGGTCGCGACGGACCAACCGTATTTCTGAAACGAGCGCGTCTGGCACGGGTGAGTAACAATATATTAAATTATTGTTGAATTGACTGTTCATCAATTAAATATTTTTAATTATAGGAGTTTAACGGACTGTTATTGCCAGGACAAATGACGCCGATAACACTACTTAATGTTTTAGGAACTAATATGCGCAACGTACGTTACTGTGTTGACCCTCTAAACACAGGCAACAAGGATATTATGTATTATAGCGAACGGGATCTGCAAATTGGCAGTGTGATAAATGTCTATGGTCGGGCTGTGATCATTACCGAACTGGACCCTTTTACTCAGCAATATTATCGCCAACGCTATGGTGTGCAAGATTTCACACCACTAGCTATTCCTACAAGATCGGACGTCTGTACTGACTACCGCCAAAAAGAGCGTATTCTTCCACCATATAATGGCTGGGGAAGCTACGAAGACTCGGTCGGGAATTGCTTATCTGTGGAGCCGAAACCACCAAAGACTGACTTTAAAAAGTTTATTAAGTTTGATCGCTATGTATTGCGGTTTGGTGCCAAGATGCTTTCCACTATCAAGGAAAATTGTGAACGCATCTTTGTGATAAGCTACTACCTGAGTGACGATACATTACAGATACAAGAAGTGGCCGTACGTAACTCTGGTTTCCTCGGAGGCGAGTTTATGAAACGCACTCGCATAGAATTGCCCGGACAAGAGAAATTCTCTTATAAGCAACCACAATACTATATGCCCTGGAACTTTTTCATCGGGTCCACCATGTCCCTGAAAGACTTTATATTTCATTTGGTATCTGCAGACGAGTATACCCTTATGTTTATGGAGCACCATCCAGAGCAGTTTATCCACGCAAACCTATCCGCCATTATGCAGAAAATCCGCTCTGCGCTTCAAAACCGTATGTCTGAGTTTGCGGGAACCTGCGTGCCAGATTGTTACAATTTGGAAAACAAGCGCGACGTATTTGTATCTTTCGAAAGCTTCAAGGGAGCATTAATCGGAGTATTGGGCAAAGTAATCAGCGACCACGAAATCATTACGCTCTGTCGACATTTTTCAGCAGAACAAACTTCTACAAGTGGTTGCTCTAGGGTTAATGTAAAGGCAGCAGCACATCTAGAGTTAAAGCGTGCATTGTGGAACGCTCGCGACGACATGATGGAACATTTCCATCACATCAATCCTACCAACCAACCATTCCTGCCTGAATCAAAAGTTCGCTCCACACTTCGCGGCTGTCGTCTTCCCTTTTCACTGGAATTGATTGACAATATTTTATTAATTCTTAATCGCAATGAGTGTAACGAGATTGAGATCTGTGATCTAATGAACTTTATCGATGTGTCCTGTAGCAAAGGCTGTGACATGCCACCTGTAAACCATGCTTTTGAGCTGTGCCCCAAGATTCCATTCCAGCACAAAGGCCGATTAGTGAACTTATCCTGTTTTCTGAGTAAATTAAACCTACCACTGAATTTATCATCTGGAACCGAGAGTGGAAAAGCCATGATGGGCGATGCCAGAATATTGCCTCCATCGGCAACTGAAGAGCTCCAGCTACATAATGACAAAAAACAAAATGACCAAAATAACATGAATGTAAAAATCTAGTTCGGACTAAGCCTATTTGATATTTGGACAGTTTATTTTGTTATTTTTCATATAAGGCTACAGTTTTTGTGGGTACAAATTTGTTGTATAATATGCCATGAGCTACTTTATTTTTAAATATATTTATATTCTTGGTAGGAAGACTTCAAAGGAACTTGTATTAAAATTAAAAAAAAATGTTGTGTGATATTACTTTTATATACATAAAAGTACATATATGGGATTGTACATGTTCAAATTAATCACTGAAATATGATTTGACCGAACGGCAAAAAACTGTTAAGCAGGCCTTTGAAGCTGTGCCTCGAAAGATCACTCTTATATCTTCTTATCCAAGTGCTTTCTAGTTATTCAGTGCATTGAATCCCAGCGAGGCATCGTAAAGAGTGATAAGAAGAGGTAAAAGCACTAACAATAAAACCATGCACACGAAGTTGGGAAGTGGCTGAGTGGTTGAAACCTCTACTCAAGGCTCAGGACAAAAGAGTAGCTTCTTACCCACAACTAGTTCGCCCATGTTGGTGGTATCTGCCCTTCTGCCAACGGAACTGACACTTCCATGATTCATTACGTACGTTTCTCCAAACTTATTGAATTTTCAATAGTTTTCATATTTTCGTTTTTAAGCCAGTTAAGAGCCCAAGAGTAGTTATTCATCTTTGGCATTATTTTGCTATGCTTATGACCAACTCCTTTGTAAAGCTTAAGACAAATTTATATTCATCGATGTAATTGAAGGGTATTAAGAGTGCGGTTGTCAGCAGTGGCAAGAACATATGTATTGCTCTTTAATGAAAGACCGACCATACGTCGTGACAAGTTGCCCTCGAATATAGAGGGGCCTAAAGCGGACCTAGAGAGGACATACACCAAAAATCCCGTAATCCGAAGATTTACTGTGTACCGTGCCCATGGGATGAATGATATATTTAAAATAAATATAAAAACTATGACCATAAAATACCGACGCATCGATCTTGGCGCAATCGAAACGTCGCACAGTGGGTGAATCCAGCAGTTCAGCAGGAGACAAACTCTATCTCCTAAGGTACTGAATATAATATAAATCTGGCTTTATGTTTTTGGCATATACAAATTTAAATTTGTTTTAAATGCATATTTTTAAAACAAATTTTAATCTTAATTTTTGGTTTACAGGCTTTATCCCTATTCAATGGAGAACCTGGAAAGTTGTCTTCATCCCGAAGGCAGGAAAGTGAAGCCATGTGGGACCCAAGGCAAGCTACCGAAAAGAAGACGTACCATAAGCTTGTGGAGAAGACCCAGTGACAGGCTTTTCTCTGTATTAAAGGGGCGCTGAGGTCAACCCCAACAAAAGCGTTCGAAACTGTACTTGGAATTGACCCCCTGGACATCCACGCTCGTCTGACTGCAGGAAAGACAGCAGAGCGCCTTATCGCATCAGGAAACATGGCACCACAAGGATATTGGCATAGTTCAATTGGCAGGGACAATCGTCTTGAAATCAAAACTCCACGATGGACGGAGGTGTAGGAGCGGACCCATACTATTCAGACTCTGAGATAAGGGGTCATATAAGCTACCGGACCAATTCAGCATGTTCCAGGCGGAAGCTTTTGCCATCAGGAAAGCTGCAGAGGTTGCTAAGACATATGCAAAGCTAGGCATCACCAGCTGAGACAGCTGTGGGAAATGTGATGAACCTGGGGTAATCGAAACCCCTGAAAATCTTATCTGCAACTGTCCGGCCCGCTTACGGGCAAGAAGAAAATAAGCCACAGGAACTACTGACCTATGCGAAAAACACCTCTATTCTCTTTAAAATACTATAAGCACTCCAGCGACGGTTCATACCCCTATCATACCCTATTTGGACAACTGAGGGCCATATTGGCCTATGCGTTTCCCCGGCAAGGGCGTTAATATAACCTAACCTAATCTTAAAAACTAAAAAATTTGTTTGCTTAGTTTTTAAATAAGTTCACAGGCAATAAGTACCAACGGGAATATTAAGATTAATAATTATCACTGTGCAGACCAGGACCATTGAAGTTAAAAAAGTTTAGTACCAGCATCATTTTTTTCGAATTTCTTTGTATTCTTGGTCGGAAAATAAAGCTCGCATTGAAACTGACATGCGAGCTGAAAAATACCACCAATTGAAGGTATCCAACCATAAGCAAAAGTTCAATATTCACAATAAACGAAACTAACAGGATATATGTGGTTGACTATTGCTTGGAGGGGCCTCCATATATTTTTACTCAAAGTCAAGTAAACGATATTGTTGAGTTGTAAATTCGAATGGTTTTATTTTCAAAACTTATGCGCTATATATAGGAAACTATCATCCAATTACAAATAAGACCAACGCTAAGAAAAGAACGGAGGCGCGGCACTTGTTCCCACGTTCATCCCTTCGACGCGACTGTCGAACCGCTCATTATTCTATGCCTCCTTTTTCACAAGTGCTCTGGCAGTTAACACTATAGTTGGAGAACAGACCTTTTTTGTCTTTAAGCTATTAATTTGGCTCGAGATCGGCTCGCTTGCCTCATCCGAGTGTGTAATTCATCACTACTTTTGAAATGGGCTCTGCGATCTTCGGTCACCCTCAAATTACCAATAACCAACAAATAAAAATTATAACGTTTCCAATTTTTGATTTTTGACATAAGACTATATGATAAGCTAGATGGTAATTAATCAGAAAGAAGCGAGCAAAGCAACCGTTCTAATCCATTTAAAAATCAGACACGAGAAAACTAAAGGAATGACAAACTTGCTAGCGAGTATATGAATCAAGGCAATGAATTCGCAATGAATTCGACTTTTGGGCGTCGGTTGAGATTGATGAAGAGGAACATATTAACGTTGGGCTAGAGTTTGGTCCCACGTTTTCAGAAAATTGTAGAGAAGTTATTAAGACATATTACACAAAGACATATATATAAGACATATAAGACATATTTACACAAAGAATTCGACTTTAAAGCACAACCAAAGTATTAGATGCATATTCGTCTAACGGAAACAACACTATTTAATTGTACTCCACGTCGTTTATCCAATCATGAGAGAGAGAAGGTAGCTGAAATAGTAGATGATCTGTTAGAAAAGAAAATAATCCGTCATAGTAAGTCTCCTTATACTTCCCTGTAGGTCTTAGTAAAAAAAACGAGGGGGAACGTTTTTTACACCCGATACATAGTGAGTATGGCTACATATTGTGGATGCCACAGATTTTCGTCTTTTGTGGGGGTGCAAAGGGGTGGGGCGAAATTTGGAGATATACATCTTATAGTGAGATCTAACAGGAGTGTGGATACCAAATTTGGTTACTCTAGCCTTAATAGTCTCTGAGATTTGTAGATGCCTCAAATTTCCGACTTTGCGGGGGCGGAAGGGGATGTGGCGAAATTTGGAAACCAACTTGTCAAGGTCCGATATCAGAGGAGTGTGGATCAAAAATTTGGTTGCTCTAGCTCTTATAGTCTCTGAGATCCTTGAACTCACATTTTGCAATAGGCAAAGCCGACCACAGGTTTTAGTGTGTTAGGGAGAGACAGAGCGAGAGAGAATGAAATTTTTTTCTTGATTCTGGCTATAATAATTATACGATCTGATTCAGATTTTGCACTCTAGAAGATAAAGTCATTTTCTACGACTCTGGTTTTTCTGTTTTCTAGTATCTTTGAAGTTGTGGATGTCACAGATTTTCGCCTTTGTGGGGGCGGAAGTGGGCAGAAGTCCGGATATAAAATGTCGTTGATCTGGCTCTTATAGTCTCTGAGCACTAGGCGGACGGACAGATGGACAGACAGACAGGGCTCAATCGACTCGGCTATTGATGTTGATCAAGACAATATACACTTTATAGGGTCGGAAACGATTCCTTCTGGACGGTACACACATCCATTTTCACCACAAATCTAATATACCCCTAAACTCATTGTGAGTATCGGGTATACGAAATCAGGAGAACATCGAATATGTGTCGATTACCGTGGCCTGCACAAGCGAATTGTTAAAGATAATTTCTCGTTGGCCCTTATTGAGGACTGTGTTGAGTTTTTAGCCTAAATAGAGAATTGGAATAACATACAGAGGCAAGATCATATGGTTATGGCGCAATACTGATACAAAGAAAAGATGATGGGAAGATGAACCCTGTGTCTTATTATTCCGGCAAAGAAACAGAAACAGAATCAATATCATAGTATCTAACTAGAGACATTGGCTATAATTTACGCATTGATGCGATTTACAACTTATCTGTAAATAATCAAAATAATCACGGATTGTAATTCGTTAGAACAAACGTTAACCAGAAAGTCACTTAGTCCTAAGATAGCACGGTGGTCCCTAGAGTTAGAGAACTATGATTACTCCATTATGCACAGACCTGGGGCCAGTATGGTACACTTTGATGAGCTGAGCAGACAAGATCAAGAGACGAATATGTTAGAGGATAGTTATAAAGTCAAATACGGTTTAGAAAAGTTTAATTTGGAAAAAGAAGAGAGTAGAAAGCAATATACAAGGAATAGCGTAAGTAGAGACAACCCTGGTAGTGAGCATATTGACACCGTAGAGAACCCTGTGATTAAGTGTTGAGAATCAGATATCAGTTGCGAGCATGGTAGTACCGTAGAGAACCCTATGATTGAGTGTAGCGAATTAAATATCAGTAAAGAGAGTAGTAGTACTGTATAGAACCCTGCGATTTAATAATCCCTACTAATAACAGTAGTAGTATCGCACAGAATCGTGCGATAATCAAGTGCAGTAGGAAGTAGATTGGGAAATAGGTGGTGACTGTAGAAATAACCTAGAGAATAGTGAATATAGGGAAGAGGACGGATCGAGGATTGAAATTAGAGATTTGAGTCAATGTAGAGGAAGCGTTAACGATGTGGTGGGGGGAGTAAAGTACATTAGAAGTAGAAATTCAGATAAAGAGAATAAATGTGTTGAGGATACAGTAGTGAGGGAAAAGTTAAAGTTTCAGGAGGAAAGGAGATAAGGAAGTAGTTAGGATTCGGCAAATGCTAGAGGATGGAATTGAAGTAGATTTTGAAGTGGCGGATAGCATTGTGTAAAAGAGGTGTTCAAACATGAACATATTATCGTCGAAATCATGCCACTTTCGTCCCCTAGCAGAATGTTCGAACATAAACATAT